AAGTGAGTACTTCGTCCCCTCAGACCAGGGACACGTGAACGATCGTTCACTTAGAGTTTGTATACTCTAGAGGAAACCTACTTCCTCAACGCAAGGTGCTGTGTGACCCCGTCACATGCATTCTCGTCATACCTCGGAAGTATCGGCAGCTACACGACCAAGCCCACGGGCTTCTTCAAGCAGGCCGGTTACTGCTATTCGTCCTCCAAGGCCACGCTCAACATGATCACTTGATCTCTTGCGTTCGACCTGCAGGCAAGCGGCATCGTTATCGTGTCGGTGCACCCTGGATACGTGGACACGGATATGACCCAGGGCAAGGCCACGCCGAAGCCCGAGGACAGCGTGATGGCCATGGTCAGTCTTATCGACAAGCTAAACCATGAGAGCACGGGCAAATTCTTCAACCTGGACCCGCAGATCCCGTTGGCGGAGCTTCCGTGTAACTTCCCTTTGGCAAGCGGCAGCATAGTCCGTCTGTGGTTCTTGATCCACTAATTGGCGAAAGAAATGCCCTCGCTAATTCACCTTACCACAAAATAAAGTTACTGCGGGGTTATAACGTTGAGTTGGTCTTTGGCGCTTAGAGCATGTCTGATACTTCACTTACCGATATCGAAATAGGAACAAACTATTCGTCGAGCATTCCATCGAGTCGGTTTATGTCAGAACAATGCGATATGGGTTAGACCTTTAACTCACTGATATCTCATGATTTCTATTTTTCAACTAACAACGACTCAGGGGAAGTATTTGTTTTTGGAACTAAATCAAAAGGTGATCGATAAATTAGGCCACGGGATAATGGGTCTTTATTGCGACGATATATTCGTCCATAGCCGCGCCGAGGGAGGCAAGACGGCCATGGAGGTGTACTTGGGTCGCCTCCGTTGAGTGTTGGATGCTATGCGAGCCAACAAGCTCTACGCCAACATCAACAAGCGCGTTTTCGCGTCACCAGAGATCAAAGTTCTCGGTTGCTTCGTCAGCAACGCTGGAAATCGAGCTGACCCCGACAAGATGAAGGCCATTGCAACGCTGGGATTCGAGCTGACCCCGACAAGATGAAGGCCATTGCAATGTGGCCGACACCCAGATCTCAAAAGGATCTCAGGAAGTGGTTGGGTTTGGCCAACTACCTCCACAAGTACAGCTCAGGGTACGCGGGTCTCGCAAACCCTTGTCGGATCTCCTGAAGAAGGATGCCGACTGGCGCTGGGAACAAACGCATCTTTGACAGCGTCAAGACCAGCCGGCAAGGGCACCGATACTGGCGTTGCTGGACGAGACGAAACCATTCAGCGTCATCTGTGATGCCTCCGACTATGCAATCGGTTGTGCACTACTGCAAACCGATGCAGCTGGACATGAACGAGTCATTTCGTTCCAGTCCAGGCAGCTCAAGGCTGCC